TTCCTTGAGTGCTGCTTCAAACTGTGGTGCGTCGTCCGAGTAAGCGTTGGTGACCTTTCTCTTACCGATATAGTGCTTCATCGCCTGCACCACTTCGTCACTATTGCTTGCTTTCAAAGGATAACCCCATATCACACCAGTGAACCGATCTCGAATCACCAATACATCCTTATCCGGCATGATCCCATCTCTCGCCATCTTCTGAGTGTTCATGAGATCGAAGGTGATAAGATCACCGAATGCCTTCAATTTCCGTTTGAAAGCTCCCTTGCTAGTCTTGTAGTGCTTCATCTTTGCTCTCACACATGACTTGCAGTATGGGTTCTTATATCGGTGCGTCATCAAGTGCAGTATGGATTTCGCCTCGTTCTTCAGCACTCCTGGTTTTGATAGTCTGGCTTCTCCGTCGACCACATCGACTTCCAATAGCCCCTCTTCATCTTCACCAATGTCACTCTCCTCTCGTTCAGAATCCGCATCACCTCCATGTTCGTCGTCTTCGGCTTCTTCAGGTTGGTCATCGAGATCACGATCGACTCTCGGGTCTTCCCCGTCGTATCCCTCTTCAGGAGAATATCCGTCATCGCCGTGTTCCTCTGGTTCTCCTTCGTCGCCTACAACGGCTGGATTGATATCAGATTCACCATCCTGATCTCTCTGGTTACCTTTCTTCTTTCTCCTCCGTCTCCGTGGTTTCTTGGGCGGAGGTTCCTCTTGTTGCGTCTCCTGACCTGCTGTGGCCTCGTCTTCATGCCCCACACCTGACAGTATGCGATGAAGTATCGTAGCCAAGCCATCTGATCTTGGTAAACATCTCCCGTCATCATCGTTCACCTTAATGTAGGGTATGTTGTCATGTACCGATAGCGGAATCTTGTTCGCGTTCTGGTCGATGAGGTATGGCAATTGATTTGCCGGCCATATGAATGAGTACCCTTGTTCCATGCACCGCTTCCCGATGGAAAAGACTGATGGTGTGCTCTCCAACACGTGTGCCTCGGACATCATGGGTAGTTCGTCCACATTGATGTCCACCATCTCTGATGTACTAGTTACACCATTCGCTGTCATGAAGCTCACGGATTTGGGTCCTTCCTTGGTGGTAAGGCCCATGGCATTGACTTTCTCTCTTGAGATCAAGTCGTGTCCACATCCCGTGTCCATGATGAAGCGTATCGGTGGTCCATCATACCTCTCCACAGCCATGAACAACGTGTCTCCTGGTATCGTGTAGTTGACAGAATCCTTCCTTACTACCTCGCTGGTGTTGAAGTCTGACAGGTCGACGTTCACCTCGATTCCTTCATCTTGAGTGATTTGTATCCATGCCTTGGCAATGTGTTCAGCAGGAAATAACTCCATCATCTTACCTTTGGCATGTGCTACTCGTGCAGCTATATTGTTCACTCTGAGGGCTCTCAACGATGAAATGAGCTCGGTATCCACCTTCTGTACCTCACTCTTCTTCTTCCTGAGGGGACGGGTGTTTAGCTCGTTACCAGGATCGCAGGGGAACGTGGTCACATTCGCCTGGTCGTCGAATCTGACTTTAAAGCGAAGCGCCAACCCATCTGTCGTACGTTGGGAAGTGCTGGTTGCATATCCTCGTCATCACTCTCGATGTCCCCGCAAAGCATGAAGGCCGGCGCAGCCGGTTTGGGCTTGGCTTTGCCTTTAGCCTCTTGTTTTGCAGCAGGAGCAGCTTGGTGCTGACGTCGACATTTGTCCCCGAACTTGCACGATCCTTTCTGCCAATTCCAACAGACCTGATCCTTCATTGGCTTAGGGCTAGTGCTTCTGCCACCAGGACTCTTTGATCTGTCACCCTTGAGGTTGTCTGGTTTCTTAGCAGAACTTTTGTGCTTCTCCTGGTGACTAAACTTGCATTTGTCTCCTCTAGAACATCCGTTTTTCCCATGGAAGTGGAAAGCGCATCCTATCTTGGACGTGTCTGCCGGAGTCGCTGACCTGCCACGATCCCCCTTTGGGCTCTTCGTGGTTGACCTTCCACGATCCTGCTTCTTGTCCTTCTTTTGGTGATCCTTCGGATTATTCTGAGGAAGTACTGGAGCGGCGTCAAGCTTCGGTGGATCGGCCTTGGTATTCTTGGGCTTCGCTTTAGGGTCCTTCTTCTCCGCTGGTGTAGCCTTCACGAGGTTCCCAAAAGCCTTTTCCCTTTCTTTCTTGTTTGTGGTCTCGATTGATTTCCGTATCCACTTCGCCATGATCTCTCGTAACTTCTGGTAGGTCTTATCCGGATCCTTGTCCAACATGTTGTCGTACACGGACAAGTCTAACGCCATAACTTTGGAATCCTTAATCTTATCCCAAAGCAGGTTGCGGAGTGCTTTGTCAGGAAGCATGTCATCCGCATCCATACCTGATATGATCTCATCCCACTGTCCAAGGAATCTGGATAGTTGATTATCCCCAGGGAATTTTAGATCGAATAAGTGCTTGGATGCATACATCACATCAACGTTGTCGGCACTCCTGAAGCTGTCGACGATCAACGCTAACATTTCTCGTCCTTTGACCATTCCAGGAGTTGTGCCTCTCGCACGCCTCTGCATCATCTGCCTCACCTTCAGTTGTACGTCATGAGATCTCTCGCCTGCTGCGTGGATGATCGTATGTAGGGTGATACCTAGCTTAGCGTCTATGCTAGCGAATCTTGCTTCGCCTGATGTCTCGAGCAGAAATGGGTCATATGGTGATCTGAAGGCATCTGAGAGCCACTGGATCCAGTCTTCCTGTCTTTCGTCGCCCGATGCCGTCACGACTGCCGCTACAACCTGGGATTTCCAAACCTCCAAGTCGTGTATCTTGGGCCATGCAGGGATGTTGATCTTCTCGTGTTCCTTCCGAGATATCTTGGAGCCACCCGAGCTAGAGGATGAAGCGGCACCATGTTCGGTTGCGGCTGCATTCTCTGCATTCAAGCGCTCCTCTTCGTACCTCCTCCGGTACTTGTTCCTCTCATCTCTGAGCCGTGCTGCATGCGCTTCGTATTCCATCATGTCCTGTTGGTTCTGCATCATACCTTCGTAGTACTCCATTGCCTCCTTCTCCTCGGACCTTAATGACTTCTCGGTACGTCCAAGTTCCGCTCTAAGCTTGGTCATCACCTCATTCTCCACATTGGGTTCTGATCCCATGTCTGGTGGTTTCAACGTCAGTGCGACCTTCAATTGTGCTTCACTTGCGCTTGATTCGATCAGTTCTTCCTGAAGACGATTCAGCATCCTCTCTTTCCGTAGAATGTCTTCTTCCAACATGTTCATCTTGACTTCAGCTTTCTTGAGTTCGACGTTGGATGGTTGAGACAGTCGATCGGATCCTTGAATCCTCGCCTGCGTCAACTCCTCGTTCGCCCTCTTCAATTGCTCCCTGATGGTCATGATGAAGTTGTCCTGATTACAAGATTGGTTGCTGAGCTCCTCATTCTCTTCTGATAACCATTTGATCTTGCTTGTATACATTGCTTCCTTCATCTTCATCTCCTCAGCATATTCGTGTTTGTTCCTGGCACTCTGCCTTTGTAGTCCAACTAACTCTTGTCTATACAGATCCCTAATGTTCTCAGCATCTGCGACTGCAGTCATGACCTCGGTTACGGCTCGATCTCTTTGCGCCGATATAGCCTGGATCTCTTCCGTGCCGATGCTCACAACTTGGCTAACCATCTCTGCGCTGTTGCGATCAGCGTACTCCCCTAATTGGGTGAGACGATCCCGCATTACCACACGATCAGTGTCAATCTGGTATTGCAAATCGTGTGCTGCCGAGAGCAAACAGTCTCTGGATTCTGTAAGTTGGGAGATTCTTCGTTGATTTCCATATCCTTCGACATAACATTCTTCGAGGTGTGCCATCACTACTTCGTGGACTTCGGTCTCGTGTTGTATAATCTGGTTCTGTCTCTGCTCACATTCGACCATCCATGCGTTCTGGTGGTTCAACATACGCACTTCGGCAAGTAGTTGCGCACACTTCGCATTCAGGTCTCCATCGGCCCGTGCTAGTTGTAGGTTGTCAGTGCTTGCCCTTGCTCCATCTCCAGCCTCGCTGTCCGACGGCACTGGTACAGTTGACCCATCCTCCAATGCTAGCACTCTCACAGCTCCGGTGTCAGTCCTCCTCCTCGTCTCTCTAGGGCTACGGCCTGATCTCGGTGTCCCCCCCGGTGGTGTCGATTGCGCTGACGGGGAACGACTTCGCGCTCTACCTGTCGCACCTTCTCTCACCACTGTCAGAGTCTCCGCTTCGATCGTACCTGGACTAGAGTTGTGGGATGCACTCATCCGATCTGCGGCCGCAGCAGCTGCTCCAAAGGATGCAGTGCTGGCGTCGGATTGTTCCATCTTCAGTGACTGAGGGTAACTGATCTATCCGATGTGTGTGCGTTTAGATGGTGTTGTGTAAGGCCGCAGCACGTACCCAGCTCAAAGGAGTCTGGATACGGCTGATAACCTGCGAACGGATGGAAAGGTGTGCCCTGGCCCCGTTCTAACCCTTAGTTCAACATGAAGCTCGCGCGCTAAAGCTCCTTTTTACCTGGTTGGGCACTTGAGCCAAAAGTATATGGCAAGTACCTATATAGCAATTATACTGGGACCTCATCCCTATTGACACTGAAACTCGATGGCCCTGTTGAGGAGTGGATCCGCTTTCTTCAAGAGGCGAGTCCGATAGCACTGGCAGCACATGCGCTGAGTCCGCTGCAAAGCTCGACCCGGCCCTCTGGGTGGGGGGGAACACAACGCCGTACAAGTGACCAATCTCTTCGTCATTGGTGTGGAGTAATTGGATCTACCAATGACCATCCCCCCTGTTCGTGTCTTTTTTCTTTCCATGGAAATACACTCTTCAGGGTTCTCACTCAGTGCTCTGCAAAAATCAGATCTACTGGACGGCACTGCAGGCACCAAGATTGAGCCGTTCCTTTGAAGAGCTGGAAAACGACCAGGTCAGGGTTTCATGTTTGAAGGGTTGAAATTGAGAAAGGTCATCAGTGCTTGGCTCAACCTTGGTAAAACAACTAGGTATCATGCTTATGATGTTCTAGTTGACAAACCGTTCTGCACCTCACTTGGTACCCAAGGGGTGCAATAGCCACTAGACTCAAAAAAGGGATGCCGAAACCGCTGGCCCACCACACGAGGTTTCTCCGCGTGGTTATTGGGCACCTCACGAGGTTTCTTCGCACATCCTCACCTCAAGGGTGGGATATCAAAGGTCACAGAATCGTGCCCCTCATTTTCTTCGTTGCACGCATGGTCAATCGTCAAAGCCCAAGCTCCAATCGCGAAGAGATTCGAGGTAATATCAGTGGAGTCGCCGGTGCATGGAAGCTCCTTTGGGGGTTGCTCCTCAGGGCAAGCGATGAGCACCACTAAGAAGTCCGTCACCAAATTCACGAGGTCGCTCACGATGCTAAAAGCATCCGATGCGCAATCCTCGTTGAAATCCTCGGCGCTCCGACCTCCCTCCATGGCATTACCACAATCCGTGACGGCAGCCCAAACATCGACGCCAGTATAGGGCAAATCATTGACCAACTGCATCACGATCCTGGGAATGCAACGTGTTGTTTTCGTTGTTTGTGCTGCACAGAGAACAAGTCAACACATATGGCGGTGTTTTCTCGTTCTTTTGCTGTTTGTTTCCCGCAAAACCACGAGGAACCCACAGAAAAAGGTCTCCCTTCTTCCTGAAACGCTTCTGCTCTTCACATGAGCCCCCCCCCCCGCAGCATTCACTCTCCAGGGCTCATGGAGCAAACCCCCAACTGGTTGCCACGAGTCCTGGCCTCGATGTCCGCTTCCAGGCGTCGTCCCCATGGAGGTCCCGGGAGTCGGGCGACGGTGCCGTCCTTTCCGGACGGACGTCGTGCGATCCGGCGGGGCGGCAGAGGCCCGGTGGAAACGTTGAAGAACTCCGCCAGGCCGGAGGAGTGCAAGTAGCTGCAGTCCACGGCCACCGCCAGTCCATCGGAAGTGATTTGTAAAGTGGAAGCCAAGAACAAAGCCATGTTCACCAAGCAAATCAGGGATCGAGAGGCAGTGCTATTTTCCGTGAAGTTCCGCACGCACCAGACTCCAATCTGGGCCGCATTGTTGACCACCCACATGAGGTTGAAGAGAAGTCCCACCGTGTTCGCCGAACACGTGGTATCCCCTTCTTTGTCTGGGCAAGTGCCTCGGATACTGAGGGCGTCGATATTCAAGGCGGCCCAGCCGAGAAAGTTGGCCGCGTCATAGATGGTCCCCACACATTGGGTGATTCGATACGGATCCGTCGGTCCGATGCCACTGGGACGTTGCACCTTCACCGTGCGCGCCACGCGCAGCTGCCGCAAGGCCTCCGCGGGAGTCTGGAGAGTCGAGTCGCCACCCCGCCCGGCACGCCTGGCCCGCTCCAAGAAGTCTTGCGGCAGGGAATGTCCGACAAGCTTTTCGAAGCGCCGAAGTCCAGAGTCCCAAGCAGGCGGCTCGGGCTCAGACGGTGGCTCTTTGGGTTCTTTGGGCACGGAACTGCTTGGTGACAGAGAAAAAACGATCAGCGCAGCGAGGAAAAAAAGAGCGCCGATCTTGCCAACGAAGCAGTGCTGTTTGGACACCGGTTCTGATTGCTCAAGCAGGGTTGAAGTCTCGAGTGTCATCAGGACAAGCTCAGATCGCTCAACATCCAAGTTCGGCGCCAAGAATGTGGCCCTTCCATTGTTTCAAGAATTTTGACACACAGTTTGAATGACAACACATGACTACATGGTAGTGTAAACATCATGTGTTTAACCGTATTCCACACCTACGAGTCATGTTTGTCATGCACCGAGAGTCAAGTCTTGGTAATTTAGTCAAGCGAGTGGCAAATCTATCCTTTTAGTTACAGCGTTTTGGTATCTTCTTCATGGCCATGCAATCGACTTTCATGAGCCTCGGAGGGTGGCGGTTTGTGTGGCTTTGCAAACAAAAACACAGAAATCATGGCATTACGACTATCATCGCCCAAAAAGACTCCCAATTCTGCAGATTGCACGCACTATAAAGACCAATGTCTTTGGGTCAGGGTTGCGCATAAGTGACAGAGGGAACACGTTTCCACCAGTCTGTGAAACACGAAACAATAAAAGGTCTGAAGTGTTTCCCAAACTCAGCCATTGCTTTCAAGTCCAGCTGAACGAAAAAGGAAAAACCAACAAAAAGGGCACAAGAAGACAACGAATTCAAGTGGCTACAATGCAGTGAGTGTGCGAAACACGGAAGATCGCTCTTTGGACCCTTAGGAGCTTAGAAGTGGATTGCTTGGACCGGCCAGTCAGGCGGAACGGATCGTTCGCAAAGGGAAAAACATGCAAAAGGGGGTTGGTGTGAATGACGTAAGATCAATAACCCGTGCTATTCTGTTGGAGGCCATCGCTAGTAGTCTTAGGTTGGAGGCCATCGCTAGTAGGTTGGAGGCCATCGCTCTTAGGTTGGAGGCGTAGGTTGGGGGGCATCACTCTTTGGTCAGAGGCCATAGCTAGTAGGTTGCAGGGCGTGGCTTTTAGGTTGGATGCCATCGCTACTTGAAAGGAGGAAGGCACGAAAGGTAGGACAGCGGGAGGAGATTAGAAGCATGTATAGCGTGCATTGTCAACTATTCGGAGCAGGAGATGATAGGGGTAAGACCACAACGGCCTTGATCATGCCTAAATCAAAGAACTTGGGACACTCCTATGAAATTAACCGACAACTGTTGATCAACACAATGATCAACAAACCATTGAATCTGGTGTTGGTGGAGTTGGCTGAAACGTCAACTTTTGATATATATATATATATATTGTTGACTCACGGTCACGTTGCCGCTGTGCTCGCAAACCAAATGACCTGCATCGAGATTATCCACTTCGGGACGAAGCGGTTCGGGGGGGGTCTCTGTATTGAAAAATCAGTTATGGGGGGTTGAATTGAAGTATCAGATATTAGAAAGGAGGAGCCCACACTTGCTTTGCAAGACAAACTCAAGGTATCCCCTGGAGGCCATCGCTAGTAGGTTGGAGGTGATCGCTAGTAGGTAAATTGGAGGCCATCCTAGTAGGTTGGAGGCCACCGCTCTTAGGTTTGAGGCCATCGCTAGTAGGTCGGAGGCCATCGCCCTTATAGGTTGGAGGCCATCACTAGTAGGTTGGAGGCCATCGCTCTTGGAGGGCGTCACTGTTTGGTTGGAGGCCATAGCTAGTAGGTTGCGGGGCATTGCTCTTAGGTTGGAGGCCATCGCTAGTATGTTGGAGGGCATCGTGATATATATATATATGGCATTCTTGAGCCGAAAAAGGATGACAACATGGATCGATCTTGCACAGAAGAAGCGCAGAAAATGTTCCTGGTGTCTTGAAACATTAAAAGATCGTTGTCAATTGCCTTTGACCAATATGGTTCCATCTCCAGATGGTTCGGGGTTTAGGGAAGGGAGATTGCAGCATATCCCATACATGGAAACACACCTCTACACTACATCGAGGACACTCGCAGCACACCCTCTGTTTGTTCTTTTCGTCATCCTGCGTTGATTCAAGCAATGTTTTGGCTGCGCATGGAAACTATCAGGGCAAAATCATGATTTGCACATCCTCTTGGTCCATTGGTAAAGGGGAAGCACAAAGATTGGGTATGTAGCCACAGACTCGCAAAACATCCAGAGAGGCTCGACCAACGTGCCGTCTAAACAATGCTGACAAACCAACCTGCGCCGCCTGCTCCTTTGGCGCACCCCGCTGACTTCCCTTAGCTCGTCTAAGAATGATAGTGCGTCGGGACGCGAGACAAACATCTCCTTCTGGAGCTCACGCATCTTGACCTGCTTGGAAGGAGACCATGCCTAGGAGACAACAAGGAGATTGTGTCAATTTTGAACCCCGTCTACTGAAAGCCGATCTCAATTTTTGGGCGGAACCGGGCTTTCATTCTCCAAAGCACGTCTTCATCTAGCAGGATATGTGTGATGCGTTGTGATGCGTCATAATGTGTCGCTGTCGCCATCAAGGAAGGCCACTAGAATCTTGCAGGGCACATTAACGACACTCTGGCCTGCACTTTTGCGACAAAGTTGCAGGCTTGCAATGGGGCTCTCAATTCAAACAACAGACTAGAAGTGTGTGCAAAAATCTTGATTCGGGCCCACTTCGACGGGTTTGCCATGCTCAATCAAAAGCCGACATTCAGCTCCTGTGACTGAGCATCTTGCCATGGAAAATCATGGAACATACAGCTCATGAGGGTCTGGAAAGTGTAAGGGGCAGCAGTTCAAGGGCTCCAGGACAAATGGCAGTTGGAACCGCTGGACTGCTTCGTGACAGGTGATTGAGGTAGGTGGGGGATACAAGACTTGCGCAAACTCCAAATTGCGTTCAAGTGGAGAAGTCGGCCGAGCTTGCAGAAAACGACCGTCTTTCAACTCTAAGTGTTTGTCAGAGCGTTGACTCAATGTGCAATGGACATGACATGGTCAGAGTCCTCACCCCTGCAAGATCTTCGACACAAATGCCTGAATCCTATTACGCAGAGTCCTAGAGCCACAAACATGTTGCACTCACTCACAAGAGAGGACTTCTTGACCTGCTAGTTCATCTTGACCTGCTTGGAAGGAGACCATGCCTAGGAGACAACAAGGAGATTGTGTCAATTTTGAACCCCGTCTACTGAAAGCCGATCTCAATTTTTGGGCGGAGCCGGGCTTTCATTCTCCAAAGCACGTCTTCATCTAGCAGGATATGTGTGATGCGTTGTGATGCGTCATAATGTGTCGCTGTTGCCACCAAGGGCCACTAGATGCGTGCAGATTGAGGACTCTCTGGAAAGCAAACCAACATCAGGATTCTGGATCAAACGACGAGGACACCTTCCATTTACAGTCTGCGTTTGATAGCGCACGTAGCAGGGGCAAGAAAGGCTAGCAAACAGTGTAAGAAAACTGCAGCTGCCGCCTGGTCCGAACAACTTGGTTGATCTCTTCAAATGGCATGCACGGAATGCAAAGAGGCTTTCGCGTGAGCATGAAAACAAATGAAATCAAAGCTCATCTTGAACAAACATCGACGCTCACCTTGTTTTGGCGCTCCAACCACAACAATGCCATCTTCGAAAGGACGAGTGACCCAAAAACCGGGTCATGTGATGGATGCCCGGGATCCAGTGTCAGCTTGGGTGCTTCTCAAATCTGAATCTACCTGTTCTGTTTTTGTCACCTTAAATTTTTAACTGCGCCACCAAAGTTAGCTGAAGATAATACGGTTTCTTCCTCCTGCAGACATTCCTGGAGCTGTTCACATTCGATGTAAATATGCACGAGCAGCAAGTGCCTAATGGCACGCGGTTTGCATGTCTGCATTCCGCTCGCCATTTTGGTGCTGTGCATCTGTTGAGGCTGTTGGCTCTTTTGCAAGCATCTTCATACAAGCGCTAGCCTCTTTGCAGCCATTTGATATTGAGGGATGGTCAAAGTGGGTCTACGATCTTGTCAACTCATGACCTGACCAATGCTTGCGCATCCAAAACCTCGGCGACGCATCAGAAACCACGCATTGTTTCCAACAAGTGTGATCACATGTGAGGTCAGATCGCAGGACAAGTGCTGATCCGAATGGTTGTATATCATATTTGGACGTTTCACTTTTCACCAAGGCTGGCGCGAGGCACCTCCGCGTGGCTGGGGGACAGTTCACAGTTCACGCACGATTCAGGCGCCACTAAACCTCGTCTCACAAGTGCAGCATGGGTTTGCCCCAAGCTCACTGTGGACGTTCAAGGAGCATCTAGAGTGCTCAAATGTGAGGGAACTCAGCCTTCCTCAACGCTTTGGAGTACTTCATGCGAAGCACTAAGCAACTTCACTTCTTTCATGGGTTGTTGGACGAGAACGATGGAGAGCGAAGGCCGCGTTGGGGCGCAAACGAAGATCATGTGCGGGAAAACCTGTCAAGTATAGTTGCATGCAAGATCCGTTATACCAAGTGCCAGGAAGGTAGTAAAATAAGGGGTGCCACATGAGAGTCAAACAAAAGACATGAAACCGCAAGGCAAACTTATCACTCTTGAGAGGGCCCTATCGCCTTTTCGGGCCGGGCTACATGTTCATCACAGCTGAACATGTCAAAAATTCCATTGACATGGTTATCGCTTTTTGGGGGGGCGGGGGGCCTGTCGCTTTTCCAGGTTGTTTCACCTTTCAGTTGTTTCAGCCAACTTTCTGTGTTTCACGACCACTCCTTAGTAAATAGGTCATCACTGGTTTTGGAGGTTCTTCATGTGATGTCAATTGTGCGTTCGCCAGTCCAGGAGGACAGGCAGAACTAGTGGTCACTTTCACTGATATCCTGCAAGCACTCAATGGTCAGGTGACATACAGTTGAATCTGAAAGCCCTGTTGGACATAGAGCCGCCAACATGCCGCATTCACAGACTTCTTCCAACTCGGGAAGACCCTTTTCTTTCTGAAGCTCGTTCATCTTGACCCTTTTCTTTACGGATGCATCTGCTGTAGAAATTAACCATAGAAATGCATCTGCTGAAAGCCGATCTCAGTTCGGCAGGGAGGACCACTCTTCAAAGACTCTTCAAAAGCACGTCTTCGGCTACATTCGGCTACGTTGCGCCAGGCGTATGGTTTCTTGGTCTTGTATCATGGTGTGTCGCTGTTGGTAGGGTTGCTACAGGGGGGTGGCACGCGGGGATTTGGAAAATGAATTGTGGGAGCGGCAAGGTTGGGGAAAGAGTG